AGACGCTGAGGTAACAGCACATGGTCATTAAAATAATGGTGGATCCTGACAGCTGAGTGGGACCGACCTACAGAACGGGAGATGATTCAGCCATGAAGGAAATCCCGAGACATGCTACCGTGTGGATGAACCCTGAGGACACCGTGCTATACAAAGTAAGCCAGCCAAAAGGACAATCATAATTCTACTTACATGAACTAAAAGGCAGTGGCAATTGCCAGCAGCTGGGACCAGGAGAAAGGGGACTGAATGGGTACAGAATCTCAGCTTTGCAAGATGGGAAAGGTTCCCTGGGTGGGTGGTGGGAACACAGTTTCTGCCCCTGAAGCCCACACTTAGAATGACTAAGGTGGTGGGTCCGTCGTGTGTGCTCTCCCACAGTTAAAACCAATGTTGGTAATCTCTTCCAAACGGGAAAACACAGTATGTTCAGTGCAGACAGTATGTTCAGTGCAGACGACAGGGTGTAAAATGGCCTAGACGGGAGAACCACGTGTGCCCCCGGGCAGAACAAGCAGAGTGAGACCCACCGCACAGTGGGTGGTGGCATCATCTCCGTTTGTTGTTTTTAAAGTTTATTTATACTTTCCCATTTACTTCTTAAAACTCTTGACTAAATATGACAGTTATACTTCTCAGGAGCCAGAAGCAAAGAGAGAACTATCTCTGGAAAGGGCTAAAAGGTATAGCCATGGGCTTGGAGGTGCTCCCGAAGCAGAAGGATGCAAGACTCTGCAGCGCTGAAGTGCCTTCAGAACTACATTTTGTGGTGGGGGTGGTGGTGGTGGTGGTGAGGATGGTGATAAGGGTGGTAATGGGGGTGGGGGTGGGGGTGGGGGTGGTGGGGGTGGTGGTGAGGATGATGGTAATGGTGTGGTGAGGATGGTAGTGATAGTGGTGAGGATGTGGATGATAGTGATGATGGTTATAGTGGTAATGATGGTGATGGTGAGGATGGTGGTGATAAGGTTGGTGATGAGGAAGATGGTCGTGAGGATGGTGGTGATGGTTATGGTGGTGAAGATGGTGGTGGTGAGGATGGTAAGGATGGTGATAGCGGTGAGAATGATTGTAGCAGTGAGTGTAACTTTCATGAATGATGTGGGGATGACAGCGACAGTGGAGGTGGCCATGTTGGTGAGGATGATGATGATGTTTGTGATAACGGTGATGATGGTGCGGATGATCATGCTGATGGCAGTGATGGTACTGAGGACTGATTAAATAAATTGCAATAAAGACAATAAGACAAAGTCGGTGCTGAATGGGAAAAAAAAGGCCTGAAGCTGCTGTTCACATCACCATTTGGTCATGAGTCGAGGGTGGAGGCACACGTGTGTGTCTATGGGCAGAGTATGAGGACCACGAGGCCTGTGTTCTCACACACCGTGAGCAGATCACAGCTCTGCTCGCAACCTCACGGTCCTGTCTGTAAAACCGGATGTGTACCCAGAAGAGTCTTTAAGTAACTGTCTGGTCTGACGACTTCCAAAGGGACAGATGTCTTCCCACCCCTCAGAAGTTACAAAGCAGGGCAGGTGCATTCCAAGGCTGAACGTCTCACCGTGTCTCTTACTGCAGAAGGAGTTCCATGAATGTTATTTTGAAATTAATCAGATGCATGTTGTGGAGCTCACAGTAAATATATGAATACAAACAAGACAAATGCATGTAAGTGTGGAATTGTGTTAAACACATTATATAAATGTCATATGAACTCGGAGAGGGTAGAAATCAACCATGACTACAGATAATCCTAAATAAATAACTTGCTCTGCTTAGCTGTCTCTTGCACAAGGCTTCCAGCTGTAGACGGTGACTCCACCTCCACCCCCGTTCAGTTGGGCTTCCCATAGGTCTCACCCACCACAGAAACTCAAGAACGGAAAAACAGAGGTCATTTCAATGGAATAGTTCCGAAAATGGTTCTGCATTGGTCTTTGGGATTCACAGAAGCATGTTGCTGTCACAGGATCGTGTCAGCAGATGACCAGGCAGAGGCAGAGGAATCTCAGAGAACCTGAGCGTACAGCCGGGAGGACCCAGAAAGGAAAACAAGATGGCAGCCATTTGCCCATCTGCATAACTGAAGAGGACTTCCTGGGCTGTCATTAGAGAGGGTGCAATGAGACACAGAGGAAACTGGATAAAGGACTACCTTTGAGGTCACAGAGACTCCCTCGAAGCAGGAAGTTGGAGCCATCACAACCTGTGTGGGGATGTAGAGACTAAGGCTGCCATGCCTTGCCCACCCTGAGGGACTATGCCCTCACCATGTGCCAAAATAAACCTTTTCTTCCTTAAGTAGATTCTGCCAGGTATTTTGTCCAGCAGTGAGAAAAGCAACTAACTCGGGGTCTTTGGGATCACGAAGTTCAGATGACGTTCTAGCTTGCCCACATGATTACATTCTTCTAGAGGCAAAATCTGAACACAGAGCCCCGGGGAGCATACCATGTGAGTGCAAAAGATAAGCCATGGAACCCCAAAACTACCAGACGCCTCCAGAGCCCGAGCCAGACAGAGATGTGAAACACTGTCTCTCCCAGCTTTCAGTAGGAGCCGATCCTTACCTGGATTTCAGACACATAGTGTCCAGAGACATGTGAGAACACATGTCCATCCTTCAAGCCACTCAGTGTGATGCAACAGCATTACAGTGTACTCAGCAAACTTATATGATGGTGGTGGCCAGCCCAATGAGAGTCACATCCCCCTCCAAGGGCTACCTGTTCTCAGCTCACAACACAGTCCAAACAGATTGTGTCAAGGCCTGAGGCTCCCAGGAGAACCAGACTTGGTGGTTCCTCTCTTAATATTCTTGTCATCTAGAGCAAGGGGTCCAATTTCTCTGGTCCTGATTTCCTCATCTCCAGACCCGAAATGAGGTAACAACTCAGAAGTGTGTCACTTGCTTCAACAATTACATGAGGTGGTGTTCCTACTCTACCAGCAACTGTGTAGAACTCCCAGACTGGGAGGCACGGCATCCTGTTAGCCACCTGATACCTGGCTAACTACCAGCCTGCCCTCTGTAAAAAAAAAAAAAAAAAAAAAAAAAAAAAAAAAAAAAAACACCAGAAAAGCATTGGTACTTCCGAAATTATTCACCCTGACCCAGTTGCAGTCCCAGACCTCTTCCTTCCTTTCCGGACACTTGAGGCTTGTTTAGCCTAGAGAAAAATTCATGCTCTGCTCTAGCCATTTAATGGGTAGATTTTATACCCTAAACAAAGATAACGCTAATGAATTCACAGTCAACCTTTTCAGCCCCATGATAGAAAAAGATTTTCAGTCACTTTAGCCCAAGCTACAACTGCACCCAGGGTCACCCAAAGAAAAGGACAACACATTAATCTTTGTCCTCCTTGTGTTAAACAATCTCTCAGATAATCCATAGTGTGGCACGAAGCGAAACCCAAAACCTTAGAACGTCATCTAGCCGGTCCCCAATTAAAACATAATCTTTTTAAGCTGCCAATACCACAGAGTAGAATCAATAGGGGGGAAGATTCTGAGTGGCATTTCCTAGTGATCTGCTCTGACCGGGAATAGATTGTTGCTGTCATGGCTGGAGGGAGGGGAAGTGGACCTGTAAGGAGCCCGCAGGACTGAGAGAAGGGTGGCAGATGACTTGGCTCCATCCTCCAGAGGAACTGGCATCTAACGCATCTCTTAGGGTGTGAGCCAGGAAGGTGACAGTTTTAAAATTCCTGTGAAACCACACGATGTTTTTCAGGGAATGATCGGAGCATCCATCCGTGAAGCCCAGTGGTTGTCTCGAGAGTATTTTCTCAGCACTCGGTGTTTCACTAAGTGGGAAGGATCAGGAGACTGGTAGTGAATGAGTGATGGTATGATGCTCTCTTTCTAGACCCAGGAAGAAATGAGGCTCCATGGCATCATGGGATTTGCTATAGGTGGAAGAGTCTGTCTCTAAACCAAGGGTCACTGACTTTAAGGCTCCCATCCTTCCCTCCTTACCTCCTTCCTGGTACAGAGAGAAGTTCTGAACTGCATGTCTTGACAGACACCAGGGGCCCTTGAGCCCAGTGTCCTCCACACCGCACAGTAGCTCAGGGCTTCTTTCTCAAATGTGTAAGTATCCAATGAGAATGAGGCTGGAAGAAAAAGCTTCATTCACAAGGGCCAAAGAACATTCTTCTCTGATCATTCTGGTCCATCTTTGTGTCCTTGGCTGGTGTGACTGACTATCAGATATGCCCCAGCTCCTATAATCTAAAAAGACAATCCTCTGTGAACTGGCACCTCCATTACCATTTCTTTTAACATCTCTTCCACTTTAGAAGCTATTCAGAATGGAGAGGATGTGAGAGAGAAGCTAGTCGCTCACAGATGGGTACTGTGCATCTCACTGTAGAGAAATATGTATGGGTTGGGGGCGGGGCAAAGTGAGAGGAGCCACGAAGGATGAGACAGATCTTCCGGGTGACCGACCACCTCCGAGAACCCCCTAAAGTGTTTCCAGTGGGTGGGTCCTAGAGTAAGGGGGGTTGAAGAAACAGGGCGTTGACTGAGGAGTTCTAGAGAAGCTGAGGGTGATGTGAGACAGCTTGAGGGCTAGCTTCCTGGTGGGTGAAGAGCAAGCCCTTCTCAGGAACCCTGGAGAGAATGGCATGGGGGATGAGATGGCAATAGGGTATTTGGGTCTCCCCTAGGCTGATTGACAATAGAGAAGCTCTAAAGCAGGGGTTCTCAACTTGTGGGTCATGACTCCCTTTGGAGTTGAATGACCCATTCACAAAGGTCACCATTGGAAAACACAAATATTCACACAGTAGTAAAATTATAGTTATGAAGTAGCAACAAAAATAATTGTATGGTTGGCGGCCATCACAACATGAGGGACTGTATTAAAGGGTCGTCGCATTAGGAAGGTTGAGAACCACTGATCTAAAGAGAGCTAGGGTTCAAGGAGACTACTGAGGGGGAGGATGAAATGAAGGAGCTTTGAGGGTTGGATGCATTGGGTCATTTTTATTATCTTTTAACGTCCACAAGTTCAAAATTGGAGTCATTTTTCCTGAGTAGTTGTTGCTTGCAGCTTGTAAATCTCTTGGAATGTGGTCCTTCTCCTAGCTGGACCCTGGGCCTCAGGACAGACTGACAGACATGTGGTCATGTGAGGAAGACTGCCTCAGAGGGGAGGAGTGGTGCCAGCGGGTATCCAGACTTACCCACATCATAGCTACATCCCATGAGCCAGAAGTGGTCACAAACCCCACTGAGATCTCTACTGCTATCCTTCGGTTGTGGTGATACAGATGGACCCTGGGGCCACATGTGTATCAAGCAAGCGCTGCACCCCAGCTCTTGTCCCAACTGTATCTTGAACAAGTTGCTAGACCTGTGAGAGCAAAACCTTGTACAGGGCCTACGTTAGTTTTTAAAAACCAACAATGGACTAAAGATAGATCCATGGGAGATGCTTTAAGGGGCAAGACCACACCCTTAGCATTTCTTTGATTGATGGGCCCCTTCCAAACAGCTGGACTGGCTGGACTGGTATATCCAGATAGAAATGTGTCAGAATCACCCTGATCTAGGGAGGGGCTATGCTGGATAGTTATTTGTCAAAACTTGACATAAACTGGGGTCCTCTGGAAAGAGGGATACCTAACTGAAAAAATGTCTCCATCAGATTAGTCTGTGAGGCATTTTCTTGATTAATGATTGGTGTGGGAGGGTCCAGCTCATGGTGGATGGTGTTGCCCAAGGGCAGGTGGTCCTGGATGGTTAAGAAAACAGGCTGAGAAAGACACAGGGAGCAAGCCAGTAAGCAGCACTCCTCCATGGCCTCTGCTTCAGTTCCTGCCTCCAGGCTCTTGCCTTTAATTCCTGCCTTGACTTTCTTCATGATGAAAGAAACCCTTTCCTTCCCAAGTAGCTTTTTGTCATGGTGTTCATCGTGGCAACAGAAGAACAACAATCCAGGAGCTTTCAGAAGAAGAGATGGGAACGGAGCTGGGAAGGCAGGCAAGACTCCAAAGGGAAGAGCTTTGCACACTGAAAGAAGTCAAATGCCTCTAAGGACTCCTCCGTCTCAGGCAGAGGCTCAGTCCTGTCACCCTGGACATGGCGCTGGTACTGAAAAGCTCCAGGGAAAGGAAAGAAAGCTGTGTTTTTGCTATTTCTTGTTCAAACTCTCAATGCAGAAGCAGTCTGATAATGTTCTGCCTCTCACCCATGGAGCATCAGAAATCTTTATAAGTTGGAGCCGAGGCCTCAAGATAACATGACTTCTGACACTTTCAGAAATAGGCCCTATCTACACAGAACATCTTGATTGTCCAAGTAGGACGGTCATTGAGATGTTAAAAGTCAACAGGAGTCTGAAAGGGTGGTGGGAGTCTTCATTTTCCTGAGATATCTTTGGAGTCTCCCTACCCCGCTCGTGCAATAATTACTTTTGAAACACACATGGCTTATGCAAACACAGGGTCAGGATTGATAAACACTGGTGATGTTTTACTGTCTTATTTTAAAACTACTAAATTAAATTAGAATCATGTGGTTTTCATTTCCATGAGACTTAAATTTAGTTCACCTGTGAACAAAGAAGTCAGAAAACTACAGTTGTAATTGTGTGATGAGGCAGAAAGTCATGTTTTATCTCTACAGGGCACAAGAAATGCACAGGGTGCAAGAAATGCACAGTCCTTTTTTCATGGTTTCACTTCTCATAGTCAACCACGTTCTGAAAATAATACAGAATAGAAAAAAATAATAAACAACTTATAGTTTTAAATTATCTGCCAATCTGAGTAGTGTGATAAAAATCTCATGCTGTCCCACATACCCAGAACATGTGCCATGCCTTTGTCTAGAGTATCCACAATGTATGCACTACCCACCAGGGAGTTTCTCAGGAGCTACCTTGTAGTACCATGGTGCTGTGTCCAAGTCATCTTTACTTTAACTTAATAACCACCATGAAGTGCAAGAGTAGCAATGTTACCAATTTTACTATATGCTGTTGTTAGCATTCAGTTTGATTATTTATTATTATTATTATTATTATTAATTTCCTGATATATCCAGTTATAAATTAAAAGTTATCATAGGTTTATATTATGCATATGTGTTGGGAAATACATACTATAAGTCAGGCTCAGAATGAGCCAAGCATTCAAATATGCATCCTGAGTCTTAAGTTGTCCCTCTCCAGGTGAAGAGGGATTATAATAATATTAAGTTTGATTCGTGAGGAACCCACACACACTTCTGTCACTCACTTTATAAAGAATTAAGCAGAGTTGTGCCCTGCAGTGTTGAGAGACCAAAGAGGGGCCTTTGAATGGTCTGGCATGTAACTCTCATAATTCTCCTGGGACTTTGGCACAGTGACCCCATTTTGCCAGATGACTCATCAGTGATGAGCCCATCTAGGTGCTGGAGGCTGTAGGAGCAGAGCTCGGCCTGTCTACGGTGCCGCCCAGTAGCATGTTGGGGCTGGATGCTGCCGCCTTCTCCCTGCTCTCTTGACTCTCTTCCACTCCCTGAGGCAGGCAGCTGCCAACAGCAGCACTGGAGAACAGCACTTGGCCACATTCAAACTTAGAGGAAATGATAGATTGACTTTCCACAGCTCTTTCCTGAGACCAAGCACCTTCTTCCCTCACCCTGAAAGACCAAGCAAGCTCTCTGGTTTCCTTAGTCCAAGTTGACTTAAACCCTTGGTCCCTTCTGAAACATGGGGCACCTGGGCTGGACAGGATCCAAGGACATCAGCTGCAGGTTCTCAACTGTCAGCTATCTGAGGGCCTTAAGGTTGATGAGTCACCAGGAGTGGATGATAAAAATATGTCCCTTAAACAGTGTCCCTGTGATAATACAAAAAAAAAGATTGTTTTATTAATGGCATTTTAAATACTGTTCCCAGCCTCACTAATAATATTTCTTAGTCCTTGAGGTAAACATAACACAAACACACACACCACACACAGACACATAGACACACAAACACACAGACACACGTAAACACACACACAGAGATACATATACATAGACACACAAACACACACACATAAACACACAAAAACACATACACAAATTGAAAGCAGAAAAAAGAGTGAAAATCAACACATATGCTATAGAACTTTTAAATGTTAACTGTAACACTAAAAACATTCCTAATCTCTCTCTCTCTCTCTCTCTCTCTCTCTCTCTCTCTCTCTCTCTCTCTCTCTCTCTCTCTCTCTCTGTGTGTGTGTGTGTGTGTGTGTGTGTGTCTGTCTGTCTGTGTCTGTGTGTGTGTGTATGTACAGGTGCACAGCTGTGTGTAAGCATGTGGAGGTCAAAGGTCAACCTCTGGTGTCATTCTTCAGCTTCATCCACCTTGGTTTTTGCTGTTGTTGTTTTTGGGTTGTTTTGTTTTGTTTTGTTTTTTAACAGGGTCTCTGGCTGGCCTGAGGCTTGCCCAGTGGGCTGGCCAGAGAACCTGAGGGATTGGCCTGTTTCCACCTTCCCAGCTGTGGACTGTGGGTGCCTCCTGCATGTTTGGTTTTTTTATGTGGGTTCTGTGGAGTGGAGGGGTGTGTGTCAAACTCAGTCCTCACCCTTGCCTAGCAAGCGCTTTGGTGACTGGTCCCGAAATGGCTAATTTTGAAGATCACATTCAATTCAATTTATTCCTAAAAAGCCCTAACCGTTGCAGAGATGAAACGTGGATGCCTCTGTAAATGAATAAGGGACCTTTCTACATCATCTTTAAGGGGGTGGACTCTTTCCTGGTAATTTCCTGACTCAAGACAGCCTTTACTGGCATTCATTAAGTGCAGTGTGGACCAAGCTCGCCCTCCATGGCATCTCACTAAAATGTCATCTCACCTGGAAAGGAGGACTTCAGATGTAAAAGGACTTAAAAAGCTGCGGCTTCTGGGAGCCTCTTAAACCTCCTAGGACAGCCGGACAGTGACATCAGTGTGAAGGCTAGCTTGCCTGGGTGTCAGGCTACCCTGCTCAGCTCTCTGCACCCCATTTAGCTAACTCAGCTTGTGAACGTCTGTCTTCTTTACAACTCGGGGGTGGATGCTTGTTCACTGGAATCCACGTGCTGCAAATCTGTGCCTCAGCCATTGGCCTTGGAGACAGGACTTCTCTAGGTCTGGAGGGGTTCGTGGGCCTCTAAGGGTATGGCTCTGTTACAGTGGAGTCTGCCCTCCACACTTGTTCTCCCCACTCGGTTCTCTGGGCCCCTGCAGGGCTCCTTACATCGTCCCCTCAACCGCGGACTTCTCAACTTCTAAACTGCAAGAATCGAGTCTTTTTCTTTACGAATCCTACAGCAGCAGAAACTCTTGACTTCTGGCTTAAAGTCATAGAGCTTCTGCATTCCAGCCAGGTTCCATGCTGGGCGCCGCCAGGAACTGTTGTAAAACAAAGCAAAGGCACCAAGAAAGGCTTCCTTAGTCTGTGCCATTCCGCCAGGCGGCAGCTCGAGGCAGGCATGGCCCATAGTCACACTGCCAGAGAAAGTCCCTGCTGGGACGATCATGGGTTCCCTGTTAGGACAAGTTGATCAGATTAGAGTCTTGATTTTATTCAGAAATATGAAGAGCCAGGCATGATGGGTCCTGCCTGTAGTTCAAGCACTTGGCAGGCTGAAGCAGGAGCAGCTCAACTCAAGAACTAGCCTGGGTTACACAGTGAGTTCAAGGCAAACCTGGGCTACCACGTTAGTCCTTGTCAGAAGAAAGGAGAGAAGGATAGAGGAGGGGGAGGGAGGGGAGGAAGGAGAGGAAAGGAGGAAAGAGAAGAGTGGAACAGAAAAAATATATGTATATCTATAGCATATATTTAAAAAATAGAGGGATGTATATAAAAATAAAGGAATGTATGTGTAAATATATATTTTAAAAACTGTTAGTTGGCCCTGAAATGTAAGTACAATTTGGTATATTCTGCTATTATTCAAAATGTAGTAGCTTTCACACATTCATTTCATAAACACCACTACAACGCATATTTATGCAGTTAGTTCAACTAGAGTATCCTACTCAGAAAAGAGACCTCCAAACCTCACTAGAGTCAAAAGATAGAAACATTTCAAGGGCTCTTGGTGAGCTGGATACTGAGTTGTTCTGAGATGATATTTCCACTCAGGCTGTTCCATTTGGGAAGTTCCAAGGACCCGAAGCCTGGAGTATAACGTAAGACGACCTTCCTCTGGGAGGACTGGCTATTCCAGGCCCTGATTCGGGCATGGCCTCTGAATGATGGTAATGACTGCATTAATGTCCCATGTGCTCTTAAGAGGGTCATTTAAATGAATTCAAGTGAACACATGTCCACTTCAATGAATTGATGTTGCCTGGTCAACTGAGCCTGTGCCAGGAGTGAGGCTGCGAGCCTTACACGGCGCCTTCACTGTGGGGGATTGAGAGGCCCAGCCGAGGTCCAGGACCCAGACCAACAAAGTCCAGCTGTTAAGTCCTGGACCCAGACTAACACAGTCCTGAGTGTTAAGTCCTGCACCCAGACTAACCCGTCCTGAGTGTTAAGTCCTGGACCCAGACTAACACAGTCGTGACTGTTAAGTCCAGACCAGAGTCCTGAGGGTTGTGGGAGTGCCTTCCTCCTACACACTTCAAGTGACCACAATATTGAAAATTAAAGCCCATTATGCTAAGAACAAGAAGACATGCTTCTGAGATCTTGATGGTACCTATAAAACATCTTCAGAATGGTAGGTTTTACTCTGAATGCCCCTCCCTGCTTCTGACAGCTAAAGGTCCAGATAACCCTGAGGCACCATGGTCTCTCCAGGCAAAGCTCTGGGCCTGGAGCATCTCTCTTTCTCTTTTGTCCTCCCCCCCCCCCCGCCCCCGCCTCCCCACCACCACCATTTCTTTGAACAGGACCTCACATATCCAAGTCTGACTTCAAACCTCTTATGTTAACCAAACTTGGCCCTGAACTTCTGATCCTCCAGCTTCTACTCCCAAGTGCTGGGTTACAGGCGTGTGCCACCATCTACACTTTGTGTCCTGGGACTCGAACCCAGGGCTTTGTGTATGCTAGACAAACACTCTATTGACTCAGCCACATCTCTAGCCCCTTGGAACTTTCCTGAGGGACTCACTTCCTACCTGAGTCAGACTACTCTGCTAATGTTCAGTCTTTTGCTTGCCCAATTTCTCCCCTGCTTTTGTTTTGAAGAGGAAGTGCTTAGAGCCCCATTATTAACCATTTAAAGAAACTGACTACAGCTCACAGGTCAGCTTGAGCCACAGTTTCTCCTGTTTCTTGTGAGAGGAGCTGAGGGTGACCCAAGCATGTTTACACGGCTGAGACCAGTCAGAAGAACGGTAATACTTCAGGACACTTGGAAAGTAAATGGCAACATAATTTGACTCTGGGCAGCTAAGGCGGAACGGAGGACACCCCACCTTCCAGCCATATTCTCCCAGCTGTTTCCTGGTCCAGCAGGGGTGAAGTCTCATTGAAAAGAGCTACCAGCTGAACAAAGCGAAGCAAAACACAAGCAAGGATAATCTGTGTAACAATACCCCTGCAGACAATGAATAAATCCTTGGCCATGAAGAACCCGTCAGACATCCCGGGCCTTGGCTTTTATCTGCACCTAACTTTTAAAAATACGGTGTGTGGGGCATGGAGAGATGGTTCAGCAGTTAAGAGCACTTGTTACTCTTCCAGAGGTCCCGGGTTCAGTTCCCAGTACCTCGATGGTGATTCAAAACCATCTGTAACTCCTGTTCCAGAGCACCTGGTATACCCTTCTGACCTCCTCCATAGGTACCAGGTACATATGTGGTACACATACTTACATACAGGCAAAGCACTCATTCACATAAAATAAAAGAAACAAATCTAAAAAAAAAGTTTTTAAAAAATACAGGTGTGCCAGGCCAGAGATGGCAAGTATAATTATTCAAAGAGACAGAATAGCAGGATACAGATTCGATTTGTGAGCTAGAAATATAATATATATATAACTCATATATGTTATGCAGATAAAAATGTACCAAGCGTATAATTAATTGATATAATATGATAATATAGCATATGTCCTAGACATAGACTATAATACATATGCATTTTATATAAGCAATTTATATAATACTATGTGTCCTAGAAATATGGTATCATAAATAAATATAAGTAAACAAATAATGAGATAACATATGTTCTAGAAACAGCTGGTGATTCCAGAGAGCCGTTGAACTGCGGTGACAGAGGTTTCCATCCCTGCTGCTAATTCTCTAATGACAGAGGTGGGATTGACTTTCAGGAGAGATTTAAAAGGCATCGGCCTCTAAACACAGCCAGGGCCCCTCCCGCTCTCCCCCTAGCCTCCCCCTCAGTAAAGGTTGCACCAGTTAATGGATTTCAAAGTCAAGAATCTAATGCTAATCTAAGTATTTGCTTATACGCTCTCTGAAGTCTCGACAGATTAGGTTTGGAAGTATTTCCATAGATCATATCTGCATAATCTAATAGAGATGACTTCAGGAACGCAGAAGATGCCTTCCTGAGCTCTGCTTGCCAGTGCGCCTCGTCGGTAGCATTAGGAAAGCATGCGTTTTTTGTTTGAATTTAAAATTTTTTTCTTCATCCAATTTCCGGAACAATGCTGAAGGGTTTTAGAGAATATTCTGTTTCTGTTTGGGAAGGCTCTATCTTGGCTGAAGCAACAGGGATGAGATGGCCAGGCCCAAGGGTAAGCAAGAGGCGGGCGCCCTGAGAAGTTTGTGTAATGTAATTGACTTTGCTAAAGGACGCTCAGGAGTCATGTGATTTCCGTCTCCAGGGAGCTTAATACATCACCCACATGAGGTCCCACTTATTTAAATGTTTCCCTTTAAAAATGTGCAATGGGCTCATAACTTCATCAGCACCCACCCTCCTCAGCTGAAATGGGGCTTTTGAGCCCATATGTGAGGCCCACAACTCAGAATAAATGCAGTCTCTTGGCCTCTTCACTTGACAAGAAGGCCAGCGCAGAGCTGTCACATTCCCCATTCCCATCCAGCGCCAGGGGACGCAGGAGAGATTTCCCTGAGCTAATGTCTTTGTGGGAGATCAGGAAAAGATTACTCTGAAAACTTCAATCCTCCTAATGTAAGTAGTTTCTCCCACTGTGGAGAGCAGGTCAGTGCAGGCCTGATGGGTGGGGGTCGAGAGGCCAGTGTCATGCAAGCATGAGTGCACACTCCAACACCCTGCAGCTCACCCTAAGTCCCACGCTTTGTCACCTGTGTGGTCCTGGTTTCCTCGAATGGCCTCCCTGGGCTGCCCTTCCCTTGAGGGGAAGTTTTGCCCATATCTTTGTCTTCTTCCACAATGACACAGGCCTCATGAGGAGCACCAGGCCCTGCCAGCACTATGTGACAGAGACAGCCAGATCTTGGCTTTGACCGGCTCCACGGAGCCCATCCCCCCACCCCCCCACCCCCGTCTGCAGCTCTTCACCCAACAGCAATCAAGATGGGGGTGGAAGGCAGAAAGGCTGATCATAAGCAAGATATAAGACACCGGAAGTAGTCATTGCCCGATGGCACTGAGTAGTGGGGAAGACCCGAAGCTGGAAGGATGGGCCAGGGCTTCTTGAGAGTCACCTTGCTGAGCAGCAGACCTGAAGGAAAGACCAGCCCTCCTCTGAATCAGGGAGATGTAAGAGCAGGAGCCAGAGCCCAAGGCAGGCCATGTGGGTGTGATCAAGGCAGACACACCCGAGCAAAGAGAGAAAGTGGCACAGGAGAGGAGAGGAGCACCAGGCCTGGTGGCACAGGCCTGCCATCTCAGACATCAAGGAGCTGAGGCAGGAGGATCACAGGTTCAAGGCCAGCCTGGGCTACACAGCAAGACCCAATCTCAAAATGAAAAGTGAAAAGGGCTGGCGATATAGCCCAGAGGTAGAGTGCTGGCACAGTGTGCGTGAGGCCCCGGGTTCAGCCCTCAGTCGTGGAAAAATAAGCAAATACATAAAAGAGAAGAAAAGCGGGAGTGGGCAGTAGGCGGCTGGAAGCCCCTCCAAAGCTGAATAATGGAAGTGAAGGAAACATATGAATGAATGGACACGGAAGAATGAATGGGGCCCGTGAAAGAACCTTTTTTTTTAAGACAGGGTTTCTCTGTGTAGCCCTGGCTGTCCTGGGACTCCCTCTGAAGACCAGCTGGCCTTGAACTCAGAGATTTGCTTGCCTCTGCCTCCTACAAAAAACTTTTTTAAAGCTTTATGTCAGTACACACGAACACACAGGTATACACACATGCACACGCACACACACACACACACACACACACACACACACACACACACACACACACAATGTGTTCTTAGCAAGCCCAAATACAAAGGGATGTGCGGCCTGGGTCAGATGCAGTGTGCTGAAGGACCTCAGCAGAGGCTGTGAAGGGACCCTTGGAGGCTGCCTGTGAGGAGGGCGGGGGACTCTGGCAGACACTCGTCATTCTTCCAAAGGCTAGAGCTCACAGTTCAACATTTTAAAGAGGCACCTTGACAACCATGTCACAGGGCTAGAGAGATCATAAGCACTCTGGAGACAGTTTTTGTGAATGGGTCCGTGTCCCATGAATGAGGTCCTGCAGCCTGGGACTGGGAATCCAGGGAGACTCCGAAGAGCTCATTAGTGTCAAAGAAGCATGTGCCAATATGCATGTATACATCAGGCATAAACGCATGTAACAGGCCAACTTCCATGAGATCCACAGAGAAAAATAAACTTTTACCAAAATTGGATTTTTTTTAAATTTTATTATAAAGTAGCTTTATTACCTATTTTCTTAAGAATGTATTTTAGAGTTGTTCATCCAAAGTTTATTTTGAAGCAAGCCAAACATTCCAGGGAGAGACTTCCCCCTCAGCTGAACTGGAACTAACTATGCAGACCAGGTTGGCCTCAGACCTGCAGCAAACCTCTGTCTCTACAGTACGGGATTACAGTGTGCCACCACACCCAGCCCAGGGTGGGACGAGATCAGCTCCCCACTGCGATGGTGGCAGTTGTCAGTTTGATAAAGTCTTGAATCACCTGGGAGACGGGCCTCCATACATACCCATCAGGGCTTATCTTGATCACATTAATTGATAAGGGAGGGCTTACCTTAATTTTGTGATACCATTCCCTGGGCAGGGTGATTCTGGATTCTACAAAATGGAGAAAGGGAGCTGATGTCTGGAACGAACAGCATGTGCTGGGGGCTCTTGCTCTTTCATACACCAGCTCCTCTGCTGAAGAGACTGGACCCCTACAGCTGCACTTCCTGGCCTCCAAGAGCGGTCAGTCACACAATGGGTACTTTCAGTGAGGTGTTTCACCCAAGATCTAGAAGGGAAAGAAACAGCAACCATTTCTGTCCTGTGTGCCCAAGGGTGCTACACCTTCAGAAGCTTGGGCCTAAGGTTTCCCTCCTGGTGCCCGAGGCAGCCCCTGGTTGCCTGGCTCTTCTTCACCACAGGGACTGAAGCTGTCCCTGCAACTCCTGGGACTCCCGGGACTCCTGACATCCTGGCTACCACACTGGCTTCCCTTTGGTTTGCAATCTCAAAATCCCCATTGTTTTGAAAACCTCTGCAGCCCTGTGGTAGAATCTCCCTGCTATAGCTACCCAGCCTTGAGTACTTCAGCTGTAGAAGTGTCCATGAGACTGAACGTCACTACATTTCTCTGATCCCAGCATGGCTGATGACCCCGACCTTGGCTTTTGGTCTCAGCGTCCCTTCGCCACCTGCTTTCCTTTGTTGATGTCAGAATCACGTGAAGTAGACCAGCAAATGTCCATCACTGGTGACATGGGACAGAGAGCTAACAGGCCAACCGTGTAAGGGGGAGGAAACCTCCAGGGAGGAACTTTGTAGTCTCAGAGCTGACCCGACTCTGGAGTCAGAACCCAGAACTAAGCTAAGGACCCCTTTCACCCCCCACCCCACATACACTTTGTTCCAGCCCTGGGAATGAACCTGTGTCTGCCAGGCCGAGGCAAGTCCAAGTTCAAAATCAAATCCATCCTGCCTGTGGACTTAAAGAAAGCTGCAGGCTGCAGGCAAACCAAAAACTGGCCCGGATGAGTGAGTTTGGCCTCAGCACACAGCATGCAGCCAGCTCTCCGGAGGGATCAGGGTAACAACGCCCTGGGTGCAGCACCTTTCCCTGGACAGCGCTCCACCTTCCTTGACAAGGCCAGGCTAGCCTTGCTGTTTCCCTATCCTAGCCTGCGTTCCCTTGCAGCTCCTGTCTCTCGGTGGCTGCCTTTACAGCAAGCCATGATTTCCAAAGCCAATCTATATTCAAATGAGCAAGAAATTATCAATTCTTTCGTGTCACCGTGGCTAAACTCAAATCCCACTTTGGGTCTATATTAGCAAAAGTCTGGTCAGTATGCTATGACATAGTCCCCCTACCCCAATAATGCCTTAATTCTCTTGCATGTAACACCCAGAGCAATGAGAGATGCTTTGTGTTTTTCCATAGGACTCCAAGTTGGTGCCAGCTTTGGCGTACGACTCCTGGTTGGACAACAGAAGCTAGAGCTTGTACCTTTGGATGTCACTGCCCAGCAAACAGGACATGGTAAGAAACGGGTGCATCTGAGGGTGTCTGATTACCAGAGTGACAAACTCCTACACATCCTTCAGGACTTAGAGGCCATGTGAGAGGAAGAGCCAGGATTCCCCAGCTCCCGTAACTTTGGTCATCAAATCAGCAGGGTCTATGTTCTCAGTCTTCAGACTGTCGTCCCCCGAAGATGGATAGTGGACACAATGCAGCACATCCTTTGCACACAGGTGCTGTGCATATGAATGACACCCCAGCACAAAGCGCCTGGCTCACTAAAGGCAAACCCCTTCTTTCTCTTCCTTAGCTTGTAGTGACTAATTCCAAACTCTGTAGGTCCCCGGTGCTGGACTGGCCCTGGGGACAAAGGGAACTCACAAATAGCCTGTGCCCTCGAAAGGGCACTAACAGAGAGGAGCCTGGATGTTCCTTTAATCCTCACAAGAGCTTCTCAAGTTGGCTAATCTCATTCTGTTTTGCCAATGAGAAAAAAGGATTAGCCAGGCGAGCCTGCTGCGCAAGGTCATAAGCCACAAAGTGACAGGGCTTCCGCTTCCATCTGAGCCTGCCTGCTCTGCCATCTCTTCACTAAGCCCCTCGGGGCATTTCCCTGTGAGTTTGGGGGCCCTCCTGTGGCTCCCCAACCTTGCACACTCTCCTCCTGGCCTCTCCCTGCCTTCCATCTTTCTGTTGGCTTGGGGACTGGTTATATCACCCAACATATCACATGACTAGCATGGTAACAGGAGCTTTGCCCAGTTAAAAACAGTATTCAACCCAGCTGGGATCATGACTTAAAATCTTTCTGGCGGTCAGTTTTTCACTCCACATCCTATAAATTCTTGCCCACCCCTCAACCAACTATATCACACGTAACATTTTTAGTGACTCGTATTCAATGCAGCTCCCACTTGGAGGCATTTATGGTGTGACTGCTGTATACAGGAACTACAGCAGACACAGGGAAGCCAGAGAGAGGTGCCCTGTGCACCCTGCCCACTGGCAGGCAGGGCAGGCCAGCAGCACTCACCAGGTCAGGAAATCAGATCAATGCCTATGTGAGTGCAACCCTGTGATGGACAAGAAAGTAGTGGCACCAGCGGACTCATCACAAGTCGACCCGCACGTGCCCGACAAGAGTCCTGCCTGCTCCTTGGTGTCCAGACCCGAGGCTCCAGCTTGCTTCTAGAGCATTCCTCCCTCCGTTGTAAGAACAAAGAGATGTATGCCTTCATTAGTTAGACCTCTGCAGAGCTCGACATCAAACCCCAGCATTCAAATTTTAAAAGTTTGATCAGCTGAGAAATAAGGATATTAAATATGATTAAATATGATTGCAGCTGAGGGTACAGACTGCTCTTCCATTGCTCGCTTTGATTAAAAAAAGCTATCTGAGCTGCAAGGCTGAAAAGTTAAATGCGACAAGGAAAAAAAAAAAAAAGCCCGTGAATCTGCTGTCAGTCTTACTTTTTGTGAGGAAATCGTATTGTTCATGAAGCGTTCGTCACCGCATCGAGAACACGAGCCAGCATCAGCTGCGAATAGTCTCCTCTCCCCCTTAATCGCCAAGAATAAGAGTGATCACAGTGGATAAAAGTTATCCTTATGATTCTTTAGGGAACGTGAGAGAGACTACTGTTTTGAATGACACACAGACAGGAAGCTGTGGTTCCTACGCTGGGATTTAATTGGTGCAGTATTGGAGTTTAAATAGTAATAAAGTTCTTTGTCCTTGAGTTATGAGGGGAAATTGCCCATAACACTGTGTTTCCACTCAAGTCCATCTTTCTGCCTGTAAATGGTTGTTTTTTTTTAATAGCTGTTCTGAGTATCTCTTACGTCTCCCCCTATCCCTTTGGGGTGGCACCAGGGGTGCTGGACTTTGGGGACTTTTCAAGATGGTTTTGTTTTGGACACTACAAGAACAAAACAAATTTGGACAAAGGAGTACCGTGGTAGAGATTGGGGTGAGTCCTTACAGTGACGCTAAATGTCATCTTCAGTCATCTTTAGAGATGAAAAAATGCCAAAAATTTTGAGAGAGAGAGAGGGGGGGGCGGGTAATAATAGCTCACTTATCTCAACCTTCTAATTGAAGAGTTGGCTGGGGCTCAAACATGGTCCTGACCAGCTACAGCCCTCAGGATGTCACCAGAGAGAAAAATGATCAACCACAAATGAGTCTGTTGTCAGGGAAGGCTGAGATTGCTGGGGGGTGGGGTGGGGGGTGGGGGGTGGGGCGGGAGCTGCAAAAATGATTTCTTTGAAAATCATTGGAAGATACACATTATGGAGAAGTCTACCAAAATCAGAGTCCAGAGGTGGCTTTGGAACATTGAAACTAAAAACGCTTGCTTGAGCTGCGTGTGGACAAGAGCCGTGACTATGGAGACTCTCATGCCAGCACTCAGGAGGCAGAGGTAGGAGGATCAGGTCGCCTGAGCTACACAGTAAGTTCTAGACCAGCCTGGGCTACTTTGGAAGACCTTATCTCAAAAATCTAACAAAAGGAAAAAATTAAATGTGAACTAAACAGCAAGCAGTCTTTTTGTGACAGTCTGTCCTGTGCAATATTTGGGCCATACACATAATCTAAACAGTACTGGTTGTTTATCTGAGCCCCGGGGCATCCTATGCTTTACCTGCTGGCAGACCGAGGCAGGAGGCCCGAGTCAGTCTCTCTTCCTCTTCTCGGTGTTTGTTCCAAGGGGCCCCATAACTAGGCTTTGAAGACCCACAGGAGGCCCTAGCTAGGCTGAGTTCCAGGCAGGCTGGAGGCAGGACCCATGGCCAAGTGCAGTCTTTGGCCTCTTATTCTATGTCTGGATGAGGAAAATGATGAGACTCCTTGGTGTCCCTGTTGGAAGCTGCATGTCTCGAATGTCAGTGCTGCATGTTGGACTAGGGGCCGCCAGGCCGTTCCAGAGGCAGGGACTTACAGGGCTCTCTCGTTAGCCCACACCTCCCAGCATGTGAGTGACAGTGCTTGCTAAGAGCACGGAGGGAGGAATACCAAACTTGAAAGTGCCCTGGAGGGCTGAAGAGATGGCTCAGTCCATAAAGCACTTGCTTCACAAGCATGAGGATCTGAGTTCTGATGCTCAAGACCCATATTTAAAAGAAAAAAAAAGTGGCTGTGGTGGTCTACACCTGTCATCTCAGATCAAAAGCAAAAGGAAGCGGGACCCCAGAGGCACATGGGCGTGTCTGACCAGTGCAACCAAGTCCCATGCTGGTTTGAGATCCTGCCTCAAAAAGGGAGAAGGCACCAGAAGTTGCTCTCCGACCTCCACATGCACACTGTTCACATTCGGACCACACACACACACACACACACACACACACACACACACACACACACACACAGACACACACACACACCCCTCAGTATTACCAGGAAGACTTCCTGATAATCCATAGACTTGGGCCCCACCCTCAGAATTCTGTAGGTCTCAGGTACCCCAATAATCTGCACTTTTTAAAAGATTTATTTTATTATTTAATCATGTATATGGGTACGTGCATGTGAGTGTTGGCATCCTCCAAAGTTAGAGCCATCAAATAACCCTGGGACTGGAGTTACAGGCAATTGTGAACCACCCAACACCAACTCAGGTTCTCTAGAAAAGTAGTAAACACTTTAAAATGCTGAGCCATCTCTGTAGCCCCCAATAGTCTGCTTTTTTTTTTAACAAGCCATTCCCATGCCAGGGGATCCTGATTCAAAGACACTGTCTAAGAAACGCTGTCTGAGCAGGCGGTGGTGGTGCATACCTATAATCCCAGCACTCGGGAGGCAGAGTTGGAGGCCAGCCTGGTGTACAGAGTGAATTCCAGGACTGCCAAGGATACACAGAGAAACCCCGTCTTGAAAAACCAGGGGAAAAAAAATACAGCCTGAGTTCTAAATTCCCCACCCAATCAATCAGAGAAAGGCATTGTTTTTAAATATATTAAACAGCATTTTCTCCAAAGGCCATGAATTTAGCCTTGCACAATTTGCTCAGGGGCAGTTTCTGTCTTAACAGTTTGATGTCCGCGTCAATGTGAGAAGTAAAATGTCTATGCACATGGATCTTTCTTAGAGAAATCCACTTTTTGTCTCCACCTGTATTTTTGTTTCTGGTATGTAATATAATTTTCCCCATGATGAAGAATTATAAATTCCATAAAAGGACTAAGAATTCTTTGTAATGCTTTACTGATCGGCATATCTGATATTTCTGTACTTGCAAGATGAGTGTAATTACGGAATTTTAGAATCACAATAGAAAATTATAAGATGAGAATGATTATGGAACTTTAGAATTATAATGGAAGGGGAAAGTGGGGGCTTAAAATGTAAGTGTTGCTTGAAAGGGCATTTTCCTATATTCTCTCCTAGTTAAGTATACAAGAAATAACACCCTTCCAGATAATACTTCATAGATATTAAAATGTATTATTAAACCCACGTGGGGAGATGTTTCTCAGAGGAGAAGCTGAGTGTGGCGGTGCACACTTGTAGTCTGAGTGCTGGGGAGGCAGAAGCAGGCAGATCCCTGGGGGCTTGACACCTAGCTAGCTTAGGCCTGCTGAGTTCCTGGTCAGTTCTAAAATGGCTCCTGATGAACGACACCCAAGTTTGTCTTCAGCCCCCCATGTGCATGAACATGTAACAAATCGACGGGTGATGTCTTTAGACACACTCTCCTGGATGCTTGTGACACAAGATCTTCCCTTCGGGAATCTATCAGAATCTGAGCAATATTGTCATCGCAGTGCTTAGGAAGTTCCAGGTGACCTAGAGTGTCATAATACGCATGGCTCTCAAGTATCTTTATGTACTAAAGGCCTGGGGGGAAATCATGTGGATGAACATCCTGCAGGTGGGTGGACAGCAGGAGTCATCTTTTCCCAACAGGCTGATGTGGAGTTTCATTTTAACACTTGGTCTTGTTTTAAAGACTTGTTTTTGTCATTTTGATCATGTGTGTGTGTGCATGTGTCTGTGTGTGGATATGTGCACATGAGTGCAGGTGCCCACAGAGGCCAGAGACCTGTCCATAGAGATGATGAGCTGCATGATATGAGTGCTGAGAACCAAACTCAGCTCCCCTGCAAGAGCCATGCCTGCTCTCACTCCTGACCGCTGAGCCATCTCCCCATTCCCTTATTTAACATTTTTAGTCTTTCGTTTTGTTATTTCTTAAAGGGGGGCTGTGAGATGACTCTGTGGATGAAGGCACTTGCTTCCAAGCCTGACACCCCGAGTTTGATCCCTGTAACGCACGTCAAACACCAGCTTCAGTGGCAAGCATCTGTAATTCCAGCACTCCTATACCAAGATAGAGGTGGAGACCAGGAAATCAATCACCCAGAAGCTCATGTACACAGACAGCAGCAAAAAATGACCAGAGAGCCTCCTGCCTCCGAAACAAGCTAGAAGGCTGGAATTGACCCCCAAAAGCTGCCCTCTGACCTCCATACATAAATCACAGCGCCTGCACACCCACGCTCACGCAGGCGTACATACAAATAAGTAAGATGTCCAGGAAGCATGGGGGAGGTGTCCTTGCAGAGAAGATGAACACGTAGGACAGCCTGGTGGGGGAAGATCCACCCTGAATGTGGATAGCACCTCTCAGTAGGCCAGTGGCCGGGATGAAAAGAAGTTGATGGAAGGCAGGATGGGTGTGCATGCGAGCCCCTCTCTGCCAGAGTGTGTGTGGGAGAGCATGAGTACCACCAGCATTTGCTGATAGTGTCCTCTCGTTTCTGTGGCCCTTCAGTGGGGACTCAACACCAGTGACTAGCCAGGGAGCTTCAAGACTTTCTGTCCACACTGGGTGTGCTGAGGCATCCAGCTTCTCGGACTGGCAGACACCTGTTCCTCTGCCTCTCCAGGAAACAGCCATTTTTGGACTACCCAGCTCCATCAGAGAAGCCAGGCCGAGGTGTAAAACACAGCACACACATTCCATTGTTTCTGTCCCTCCAGAGAACGCTGCCTAACACATCTCCCAAGGGCTGGTCATCAATCAAACTGCAGCCAGAAAATACCAGACAGGGACCCGGCAGACAGACACCGCCTCACACAGTGTCACTTACAGCCCAGGGGCTTTTTAGATTTGTGGTGCTCACTCTGGCTACTCAGCTCCCTCATCATGGACAGAAAGCAGGCGCGGACGCCAGCCACGAAGCTGGACAGTCCTCCGGACTCAGGTTGCTAATATCTGATCTAAAGAACAAATGAGATAAACTTGAGCTGACAGCGCACTTTGGGTTGTCTTGCTTTGTTGGTTGTTGTTAGTTGAACGTTGTTTGGTTAGTTTTCATTTGTTTATACGTGTGTGTGTGTGTGTGTGTGTGTGTGTGTGTGTGTGTGTGTGTGCACATGCATATGTATATGTCTCTGCATTTGTCTGTGTATGTACATATGTGTGTCTCTGTGTGTATGTGTGTATGTCTATATGTGTGTGTGCATGCATGTATGTCTCTGTGTGTGTCTGTTTGTGTATCTGTGTGTATGTCTGTGCTTATGTGTGTGTGCATGTGTGCATGTCTGTGTGTGTGTGTGTGTGCATGTGTGTATGTCTGTGTGTATTCATTGGGAGCACACTTGTGTGCATGCATATTTGTCCTGAAGACAGCCTTGGGAGTCTCCTCAGAAACACCACCCATCTCCTTTGAGACAGAGTCTCTCTCTTGCTGGGGGCTTACCAGGTAGAATACCTGGCTGGCCAGGGAGACCCAGGGACTCTCCTGTCTGCCTCCCCAGCCTGGGATTTTATCACATATTCTCATGCTCAGCTTTTTACATGGGTTCTGGGAATCGAACTCAGGTCCTCAGCTCCCAAAGCAAGTACTTTACCAACTGAACCATCTCCCTATCCTGGCTTTGTTAGTTTTTTTGAGGCAAGATCTGGCTGTGTATCCTGGTTTATCCTCAAGCTCACAATCCTCCTGCCTCAGCTTCCCAAGGTCTGGGATTACAGGCATGCTCTTTGGGTCCTAGTTGTCTCTCTG